CGACCGCCAACATGAGCATGGAACAGAGCGCCTTGCTGAGCAGCCAGCACGACATCCACGGCCGCATCTCCCGCGCCATGGACAACCTCCGGAAGCTGGGTGCAGACAAGCTCACCCTCGGCACGGTGAGCACTTGCATCCGCATTCTCGACGACCTGTGGGCCAAATTTGAGTCCAATCATGACCTCATTCGGGCATGCTACGGGCAACTCTACAGCGAGACTGAGTACGCCAAAACTGATTTTGTCGACACCGTTGAGAATGCTTACGCGCATCAACGCGGTTTGCTTCTCGGGTTCGAAAGCAAACTCAAACCCGCGTCGCCTAGAGAGCCAGTCGGACCGGAGCAAAACAGCGAACACGCTCCCAAGACGTCACTGCCGCGTATTCAGTTGCGGAACTTTTCGGGCGCGTATGAGGAGTGGCCGTCGTTTCGGGATCTTTTCAAGTCGGTCATCGGTGAGAATTCGTCGATTTCGAACGTTGAGCGGCTCCATTACCTCCGATCGTGTCTGCGAGGGCCCGCTGAAAAATTAGTGAGTTCATTAACGGTGACCGGTGACAATTACGACCGCGCGTGGGCTATTCTGAATAAACATTTCGAGAACAAGAGGGAGTTGATACGCTCCAACTTCGCCACGTTTACCGCCGTGGCGAAAATGAAGGGAGAAACCGTTGACGAGCTGAGCCGCATCCATAACGCCGTCACAACCGCAGTCAATGCGCAGGAGAGCATCGGGAGGCCCATAAAGTCCCATGGAATGGACCTCTTTAACCACCTGGTTGTCATGCACTTCGACCAGCGTACGTGACTCGAGTGGGAATCATTCGTCTCGGACTCCGTCGAGCCGCCGGAGCACGAGAAGCTCACGGACTTCATGTCGAACCGCATCCTCACGCTAAACGCCGCGGACCGAAAACCGCCACAAAAGCTTCCGATTCCACTGGTCCGTGAAGACCCACGTCGCGAAACAAGGGTCGAAAGACAGCTCCGATCCGCAGTGCGCCCTGTGCAAGGGGAAACACTCGCTGATGACGTGCAGCAATTTTAAAGCTAAGTCCGCCACCGAGCGAAAGACAGTTGTAGAGTCCAGTCGGCTGTGTTTCAATTGCCTTGGCAATCACACCGTCGCGAAGTGCCAATCTTCGAAGAACTGCTTCACGTGTAAAGCTCGGCATCACACAATGCTTCATGAAGCCTACGTTCCCGCGTCGCCGTCCACCGAGGTCAGCGCGCTGTCCGCCGTGCGTTCCGCTGACGACCGCAAGGCGATCCTCCTCGCAACTGCGCGAGTGACCATCGCCGACCGCCATGGAGACCCTCATCCTGTGCGAGCCCTCATCGACCAAGGGTCTGAGGTCTCAATTGTCGCCGAATCTCTCGTGCAGCGCTTGCACCTGCAACGATCTCGCTCCGCCGCGCGCCGTGTCGATTTTCGGAATCGGGGGATCGAAATCCGGGTCAACCCGCGGGAAGGTGACGGTGAGCCTTACGTCCGTGACGACCAGAGCCACGATTACCGCCGTCGCGTTCGTGCTGCCCCGTCTTTCTCTTTACCAAGGCTCGGCGACGAAGAGCCCCGCTACGTGGACCCATCTCAAAGGGCTGCCTCTAGCCGATGCGCAGTTTTCGGCTGGAGACCCGGTCGAGCTACTTCTCGGAGCAGAAGTGTGCTCCACCATCCTCGAAGAGGGCATTCGAAAGGGCGGACCGCACGCCCCGATCGCGCAGAAGACAGCCTTCAGGTGGATTCTATCCGGTGGCTGCGGTGCCTCAGTCCTCCACACGCGCGGCAGCTTTCAAGCGACGGCCGACCACGAGTTGGCCGATCTCGTGCGCCGCTTCTGGGAGCAAGAAGCAGAGCCTTCCGTTCCCGCCGCCCTCACGCCTAACGAACAGAAGTGCGAGGACTTCTACGTGAAAACGCACTCTCGCACGGAGACGAGGAGGTACGTGGTCCGAATGCCGTTCTCCAAGGAGCCGACGAAGTTGTCGAAGACACGCCGACCGGCTGAACGCCTGCTCACCGCAATGGAGCGGAAATGCGAGAGGGACCCCCGGTTCGGCGAGCTCTACCGCCAGTTCATCCGGGAATACGAGGAGCTAAAACACATGGAGTTAGCTTCCGGTTCTCCAGACCACAAAATCATGCCCGAGTGCTACCTACCTCACCATGGTGTGCTCCGAGAATCGAGCACCTCTACCAAGCTCAGGGTAGTATTCAACGGGTCGCAGCTGACAACGTCCGGCGAGTCGCTGAACCAACACCTCCTCGTGGGCGCCAACCTGCTGCCCGCTCTAGCCGAT